ACTGGCCTCTTACAGTCAGGTGCAGATTAGATTAGGCCAAGGAGGCTTTGAGGTAGGAAGGAGAGCAAGGAGATCCTATAGGGCCAGAGGAAATAGACAAGAAAATCCATTCCCATATCTTTGAGGAAGTGAGTTTCAAGAGAACTGGGTGCAGGCTAAATATATGCCTTTTAGGGAGAAAATAAGAGACGTAATAGAAAGGAAAGTGCCAGAGAAAACTGAAGGCAGGCTTAGGATGGCCAGAAGCAGTGAATTTGATTTTAGACATGTTAATCTGAGCTGTTATTGGCTTATCCTGATAGAGATACTCAACAGGGAGTTGAAAACGTGCCTCCAAAGAAAGAAGAGAGAGATGTGGGAGCACTGGTGCAAGAGCCCTAAGGCTCCAAGAAATTCCTTTTTAAAGGGTTTTCCTGGTTCTGGGGATTAAATTCAGGGGTGACCTACCACTGAATTACAACCCCAGACCTTTATATTTTTGAGCCAGGATCTAAATAGCCCAGGTTGATATCAAATTTTCGATCCTCCTGCCTAGCCTCCCAGGTAGCGTGAATTGCCCTGACCTGCAAATCCATGAGATTCTTGAAAAAACCAGGACTATTTTCTTTATATATACTTTCAGAAATCTCTTACACTCTTAGTGAAACATATTTATTTAAGAAGTGGGAGGAGATTAAGCAACCAGATAAGGGTCAGAGATGGAACAGAGAAGTAGGAGGAGTTTGTATAGTATCAGGAAAGGAGAGGTTCAAAAACTGGGAGTGGGTTTTACCTCCTCAAACACTATAGAGAGACTGAACTGCATGAACACTAAGCAAAGACCCCAGGCTCCACCATAATTCCATTATGTCCTACTAAGATGACTGGCATAGCACTTACCAAGTGATATTATAATTGCTTAGTATTTATCCACCATTAGGTAAAGGCTATTTGATATTGTTAATTGTTTTATTCCTAGCACTTATCACCAGTAAACTGGTAAATTAATAAGCACATGAATGAAAATGTCAGGTGTGAAAGTCAAATTCCAATGCTTAAATTAATAATGGTAAGAATAGGTGGGGATATGCCTCCCAACACACAGAGTTTTTCTTTTGTAAGAAACAACCCAAAACTTTTAAATTCTTACAACTATTGGCTTTAATAGTAATGATTTTTTAAAATGAACTGCTATTGTGCTTGGGGATGTTATTTCAGGTAGCTAATTTAGAGTAGAAAATTCTGCTAAGAATAATATTTTTGTTTATTTTTGATTATCTGTCAACCCGGTGGAATTTTGAAGAGATTTAGATTACAAGAAAAGCCTCTGACAGATATCTATGAAAGCAAGATTAAAACAATAATATACACAGTTAACTGTGGTTCAAGGTTTTGTAAACCAGTACCAGTAGGAATGCTCAGAGAGGTGGGAACAGTGATCTTCAGGCAGCCAGGTAAGACTAATCTAGGGAAGCTTTAGGAAGGAGATAAATTTAAGCTGTTTTGAAAGGGGACTATTCTAGTCAATTGGCAAAGAGTCTTAAAGCACAGGATTAGGTATTTTAATTTGATTACTTGAGATAATTTGGAGCTACCCCCAGTGTTCTGAAAAGACTTGGTATAAATGTTGTCTAGAAGATGATTCATTTCCACAGTTCTTAAGTCTGGCTGCATATTAGAATTACCCGGAGAGGTTTGGAAAGTCCTGGTGCTCAGACTGCACTCCAGACCAATTAGATCTAGGGGTGGGACTCAGGCATCAATGTTTAAAAAGTTCTTTGGATGATTCCAATAAACAGCCAAAATTGAATGTAGAGTACATTGCTCTGAGTGTAGGGTAAAATGCAAGCAATTAAGAGAGAGGCTAGAATTGGAAAGGGTAGCAAGGAGTCTGGAAATGGGAGTCTGACCTAGCTTTGGTACAGAGATAAAAGAGGCTAAGCTAAATAAAATATTCTGGAGGAAAATTTGGTTGGGCTTTGTGATGCATGTCAGTTGCAATTTTTCATGAAGTTTTCCTCCAGGAGCATTTCTGCTCTTATTGTGATGGATTAGTTGGAAAATGAACAGATAGGACTTGCTTTTGCTAAAATTTGGGGGTTCTTAACTATTACACAATTCTTCATTTTGTTGTAGCAAAGCAGGTCAGAAAATAAAACAATCATGTAAACCTTTTGGTCATATTTGAAGGAGGAAAATAAAAGCAAATGATGATGTTCTCCAATTAAGAATCAAAATACAGATTTTTAAATTGAATTATGATTAGGAGATAGACTATGGCAAAATTTTGATTCCTTTAGAGTAACCTTAAAGGAAATGAAAAGTCAGAACCTCAAGGACACTAAAATGAAAGATTCACCATTATTTTCAATCATAATGTTCACCTCTCCTACAATGAAGGCTTTGTAACAGGTATGGGAAATGAATGGGTGGTGTCTTAGAAATGATGACCTCTCAGCAAGGTGAGCTGGCAAGCAGTGATAGGAGTTCCAGGGTTCACATTAGATCATTTTACATTTGCTCTGATATGTTCCACCTTTAAAGTTTAGAGGAAGGGCAGAATGTCATAAGGTGGTGCTATTACTTATATAAAGACGTAATGTTTCATAATATAACCTATATAGCATTTGATAAAATATGGATACTGAAAGAAAAACTTCACTGGCAAGAGCTCCCTGGAAGGGAGTGATTGAATATAGTTATAGGAGGAAAATCATTTTTCTGATTCTGAGGATGAGGCTAAGACTTAAAATGATAAGCCTCTAGTAGCTGCTGTCATTATTTAGAGAACAGTTTTGGAATTGAAAGTAATAGATACTTGTTCTTGCTTCTAGATGTTGAGTCCCTGGTACACAGAGACAATGATGTTGGTCAGGGCTTATTCTAGATGTAAGTAGAGTTCATGTGCATGTTGTGATTTAAGGAGTAGAGACTACCCTTATACCCTAAAACTTCCCAAGCTAACTTTATCTTACTTGCCATGAGTGGAGGTGGTGGACTAGGACGTTGGAACATTGTTTCTACAAGATCCTTGAGAAAATAAAAATGCACTATAAGGGATCAGCAACACACCCAGAAATGTCACCCACACCCCAGACCTGCTCCAAGAGCAACTTAGGGCAAGTACACTAGCTGGGTAGGAGAGGGTGTGGTAAGGTGGGAATAGAAGAAGAGAGGTTTACAGAGTTGAGGTAGGGTGAAGCAGGGAAAAGCCATTGGGAATTCTGGGGCAGCAATTACCTGAGAAGAGAAGTCTGCTGATTCCCTGAGAAAAGAAACCACATGCTTTCCTACTGCCTCTACCTTGACAGGCTACTGGACCCATTCCATGTTATTTCATCCAGCTGGCCTGACTACAGGGGGTCACAACATCTGCCCAAAGTTATACTGTGCACTTTCGCACATTCAGGTTTCCTTAATTGCTTTCAATTTCCCTTCCTCAGGTTTACTGTTCCAGGAAAGAAGGTTCTAAATTAAAACTCTAAAAAGTGCCCCTATGTATTAGTTTGCAAAATTAATGATCCTCATGGAAAAGCAAATTAATCTTTGATGTCTGGTTGAAGCTAAAGACAAAACTCACTGCTTTGAGCACTGGGCCCTCTTAACACCCACATCCCCATGGCATTATCTTCCTCCTTTCCATGCCTGCCACATTAACATAACTCTGTCTCTGAATCCAAAGGGCCATGATACATTCACTAGTTTTATAAACATTTATGAAAAACCTGGATTGGGCAGCAGCTGTGCAAAGGTGCCTAAGAGAAACCAGGAAAGGATGCATAGAGGAAGCCACCTGATGTATTGTCACATGAGAAGTTTTACTCGCACTTTCTAAGTTCATGGTTTGAAAAGGCTGCAGTAAACATTTTGTTCCACTGAAATAACAACCTAATAGCTTCTTCAGCTTTAGGAAGAACACGACAGCTTTTCCAAAAGCATCCATCCTTGGGCTGAGGGTTCGCAGAAAAGTCCAAGGGGATAGGGATCGGAAGTCCTTTGACTGCGTTGCTGTGGTTTTGTAGCAGGAAGCCTCTGCTGCACTGCGTTGCTCACTTCCTTTCAACTGAAAAATTAAATCTGCACTCCTGTCAAAATGTGTCATCTGCACACCCGGACAGTCCACAATTCACTACGCTTCACGAGGAGCCAGGACTGAGAGGATGGCGAATCCCCTCCGTTCCAGGTCTGGGAGGGCCAGATGTTTGGGAGGAGCTGAACAACTGTGTCCGGGGAGTGTCTGGCAAAGCCGGCTCCAGAGTTCCATGGGAGCTTTGGTAATATGAAAAGAACTAGTGTCCGTCCATTTCCTAGGGTGTGAATCACACTCTCCTGTTGAGCCTTTGGGAGAAAATTCATGAAGGACATGATGCTGCAGAACCTGACAAATACACATCAAAGTCAGGGGTGTGTAAGGGAGAAGGGGCAGATTTCCCGTAGGCTTTTCTTCGAGGTTTGTTTCTCCTTTGTGTCCCTTGACTGGATACTTTCACTGTAAACTCTCAGAAAGGGCAGGGAGGGGCCTCTTTCATGCCGGGTGGAATATCTTGGCCAACAGTAAATGCTGAATGACAACGACGATTTCGGCCTGGAAGATCAGCGTGGACTGGGTGGGACAAACCCTCCTGCTAGACTGCGCGGCGACGGCTGTGCCCTGACTGCGAGCCCGCGGCTAGGCGACTGGGCGCGCGCGGGTAGGCAGGCCGGGCGCTCAAAGGGGGCTCCACCTGGCCGCCGCGCCGCGGCCGAAGGGGCGGGGCCCGGCTTCCCGGAGGCGGTGGCGCCTCCTCGCGCCCGAGCGCGCGCTCCCCGGCGTCCCGCGCACGCGCGAGGCCGGGAGGGAGCGCGCCCCGGCGGCGGCAGCAGCGCGGGGAGGAGGAGGAGGAGGAGGGTGGCTGAGGGGAGGTTGGCCGCGCGCGCGGTGGCGGTAGCGACCGGAGCCAGGGCGGAGTGGGTAGCGACGAAGGGGGCGGAGGGAGGGGAAGGCGGGGGACAGTGAGAGACGCATTTCTAATACCCAACTACAAGCCCCGAGTTTGTAGATGGGGCTGCTCAGCGGCGCCTGCGGCTGAGGGAGAGCAGCGGCGGCGGCGGGAGCAGAGGAGCGGCGGCGCGGAGGCGGCTGAGGTGCGAGCCGGTGAGTTGCTGGGGCCCCAAGCCACTCGGGTAACGGTTTCGGCGCTCGCCGGCCGGCCTGGGGGCGCCCTGTTGCTTTTTGGCAGCGCCACGCGGGACCCTGGCCCGCCCCGCCCCTGGGCACCTGGGCTTCCGCCGAGGTGGGGGCGGCGCGAATAGGGAGGCTGTTTGCAGCTCCGACGCCCGGCCCGCCCGACTCGCGCGGAAGGGGCGCCCTGGGCCGGACACCTAGCTTGCGGGCTGCGTGCAGCGGTCGGGCGGGTAGGAGCGCGGCAACGTGTCTGGCGCATGCTGCTGGCAGCCGCGCGGCGCCTCGCGCTCTCCGGCGTGGCCCAGGCTGGAGCTGGGGTTGGGGCTACCGGCGCCTACTGCCCTCTCTAGGCGCGGAGCTCGGGTGCTGACACCCTCTGCGGCCGGAGTAGCGTTAAAACATGAATGGAAAGACGCGCCGGGGGCGGTGTTGCTGTGACTGACACCTTCGGGGTCAGTCCCGAGAGGGGGCGATTCCGCCGGTTTCTGGCTCTCTCGAGCTCGGAGTTCGGCGGGGAGGAGGCTTTCTGCAACTACTGCTGCTACTTCCGAGGCACGAGATTCCAGTTGTTTGGCCAAAGTGGTTGTGGGCAGAGCACGCACTGCTCCGGGGGCGTTCGCTGCAGAGACCGTGCCCCCTGATTTTAGGTACATTTATCCTGAACCAGAAAGGTGCCGGGGGCCCCCCTCGCCCTCTCCCTCCCTCTCTCTCAGGGCGGGGGGTGGGGGGTGGGGTCAGGAGGGAGTCGGTTGAAGGATCCGACAGTGTGATGACAGCTTGTGGATTGGTTGGTGGGTGTTTTTTTGCAGAAGACTTTTTGATACTTTATTGGGAGTTTAGTCTCAATCCTATCAGCTCCTGGGATTATATCTATTAAACTTCATCTGTTGAGGCGTGCATTTGTGTAGGTGGGGGAGGGAGAGGCGAGGAAGAGAATTGAAGACTGACCGGGAGGCTCAGAAAATTCTCCGCATTACTTATAAACAGCCGGTTAAGGTCAGGTTAGCCACGTTTTCCTCTTCCTATGGCTTTGAGAATTGTCGGAATATTACTTCATGCTTGCTGAATTGGTTACCTTGTAATATAGCCAAGAACATTGCGGGGGAAGGGGGTGGCGGCATTAAAATGCTCTTCAATTGGAGTATGATTTAGCATTCATTTCTTCCCGTGAAATCTTTGAAATAATAGATCAGAAGCTTACATTTGTCAAATGTATTAGGCGAGATAATACACTGTTATTAATGAGGAGATAGTTTTGGTACATAGGTCTAACAAGGGACCTCAGCTAATAACGTACTGCTTATTTTAGGTGTCTACTGTGCAATTATGATAAGCATCCAGGCCTGATTATAGTTGTCTTCAGGGCCTGATTACTGTAAATAAAGAACTTTAGTGATTGTGTCATTTTGAGGTCATTTGTATCTTAAATCTATCATACATTTAAATACATATTTAAATACATGTTTGCTCAATGTTTTACTCCTTAAGGCCCATGCTTTTTTTCTTCTAGACTACGGTTACATAATACACACATGGTAACACTTTTAATTGCTCTAGTTTGTCCTATAGAGACCACGCAGGGTGAAAGGAGTGTGTATGTCCTTATTGATACCACTGAATTCTTTTTCCACCTAGAAATCAAAATGACTGCATGTCCACCTCTTTACACAGTACAGAATTCCCCCACCCGCTTTAGGGTAACTGTTGGATTTTCAAAAATGAATCATTTTTCTTAAACATTGGAGGGAGCAATTTGCTTTTTGGAGTCTCATTTCAGGCTGAAATTGTTCTATCAGACCACCCAGACTGCTTCTCCCCACCTTGTTTTAGCTTGGGATAAGCAAGAAAAATCTTGAGAAGCTGTGTTACCTTAAAAACAAACAAACAAAAAACTGTTTTTAACATTAAGTTGGCTGTTTGAAAATTTACCATCCCTTTATATTATTCTTCAGTATTGAATAATGAATGGTTAGTGAAAGAAAACAGATGTTTAAATTAAATCCCTTTTGCATTTTTGACATTTGAGCCTTATTAAAAGTGGGTAGCATCAGCAAATTATTGCTGAGGAAGTTTCAAATAACACAAGGTTCATGTTAATCAAAGCCTGTTACAAAAATACCAATAAATAAAAGAGTCAAGAGGACTCATTTGAAGTTTTTACATGATTTAATGTAAGTTACCTAGTTTTCTGGTAAAGAAAATTTTGTTAATTTTACTTTCCAAAGTATTTCACATGATGAGGGATTAAATTTGTATCATACCTCTGCTTCAAGTAAATACTTAAATTGGAAGGGATGTGCTGATCTTTATTTCAGAAAGAATGAACACATGCCTTTTTCTCTGCTGCTTTGAGATATTGTCAGCTCTGAAAACAATTATTCTAGTTTTGTTTTACCCATAGGTTCTTTCTTACCAAAATTAGTCTTCACATATGTAAATACTGCATCACAAGAGCAGATAACAGGAGAGATAGCTCTACTGATATGGTGCTAGTGAATTAAAATTTTTATTTTATTTTGTAGGGATCATTTTTGCTTAGAGTATATTGGTCAGTCTCAAAGAAGCTGCAGTGATTTTCCCACACTTTTTTTCTTTTCTTTTTTCTGTTTGTGTGTGACCACTGGGGGGAGACTTTACAGTTTAGCTTGACCAAATCCCTCCTTTGCCTACACTGGCTGCTAATTATCTTGGGCACTTTGCCAAACTGCTGGAAAGTATGTACTAAGGAGGATGCTCTCAGAATCCAGTCTTGATCAAGGTGTTTAATGACTTTTCTTTCTTTAACTCACTCCACACACACAAAGTACCTCTCTTTATATGCTGTATTATTTTAACAGTGTTCTTCTTGGACTATTACTAAGTGGGCTAACTGAGGATCTAACATAGTATGCAAGAAAAGAATCATGACTGTTATAGTTTTCAAAGATCTAACTTTACTGACATTAATCTTAGAAGTACTGTAGCTTTAGTTACATGCTTGAAATACACAGATATTGTCTGAAAGGATCTGGAGAGATTATCTCTCTTCTGTGAGGTATATTATATCCAAACCTCTTTAAGCAGATTGGTCTCCTGTTTTTAAAAGCTTTAGACGAGGAGATATTGAAATATCCCTTGTAACCAAGTTTAGTGTTCATTTCACTACAAAAGAGAATTTCATCCTTTATCAGAGTCATAAAGATAAAGAGTAAAGCCTACACCTTGTTGACCATTGAACTGTGGTTATTCTTATAAAGTATAACAAAGTTGGAAGTCTTGTTTTTACTCTTTCTATACCTGATGGTATTTTACTTTGCTAATACTCAGTTCATAGTAGTGAACTCAGTAAACAAGCGATTTGGCATTTATAGTAGTTTAAGACAACTCAAGTTTTATGACTTTCCTTAATCATGATAGAATAATTTGAAGATGTTTTTATAATCTTTATCATTGTAAATTCATCTATGGAATAACAAAAAGGACAGAATTTGGAGTAGTGCCTATCATTGTGGATTGTTCTCCTTTTTTCCCTTAATATGGTTTTTCTTTTGTTCTAAAGTTCCTTTCTCTTCCTTCCTTTCTTCCTTATATAGTATTCTAGTAAAAATATATTTCTCACTAACTTTCGGATTGTGTTAAATACTTGAGGATGGTAATTTCTAAAGGCTTATAAATTGAAATTATCAATAATTAAGAAAAAATGAGATTAAAAGATAGTACAGTGAGTTTTCTTTAAAAAGTTTATTTTCAAATCCTTTCAAAACTCATTAGCTCCTATACATGATCTCGTCTCTACTTACCTTATCAACGTATGTGTTTTCCTCTTAGACCTTCCGGTCTCTGAAAACTTTTTTTCCATTCTCCTTTTTACTGTATTCCATCAAAATCCTGCAATTCTTTTTTTTCCCAGTAATACCAGCGTTTACTCATAAGACTTTTGGACTCCTTGTTTGCTTGGTCTGGAACTCTTTTCCTAATCATTACATGACTGGCTTGCTTCCTAGAGTAGAGTAGAATAGAATAGAATAGAATAGAATCTAGTCTCAAAAGCATTGCTATTTAACCATTCTTCCAGAATGATAGCACAGACTAATCTATCTCATTACTTTTTTTTGTAAATGTTTTTTGTAAAACATTTTCATTATTTGGAATTTTTATAATATTATCTGTGTGCTCTCACCAGAAGGTAACCCTGTGACACTAGTGATCTGGTTGTTTTTGTTTTATTCTGTGTTTCAAGAACTTAAGACATGTTCCTGGCACATAGCTATCATCAAATGAATAATCATTTTTAAAACTCTGAGATTATGGCCTGCCTGAGTTTTTGCTGTTAAAATATTCTATTATAAAATATGAATATATGGTAGGCTTTTTTTTTGGTCATAAGTAATTAAAGTCCATTCTATATAAATAATAGGGGAGTTGGGCATGGGTGGTACACACCTGTAATCCCAGTAACTCAGGAGGCTAAGGCAGGAGGATTGGAGGATTGCAAGTTTAAGGCCAGCCTCAGCAATATATAAAGGCCCTAACCAACTTAGCAAGACCTTGTCTCAAAATTTAAAAAATACATAAATAAAAAGGGCAGTGGTAAAGTACCAATGAGTTCAATCACCAGAACGGGGGGCGGGGGGGGTAAGGCCTGTTGCAGAGTGGGGAATTATTGTTAAAATGTAGTGAATGCCTCATGGAATCTCAGTGCTGGAGCTTGGGAACTCCAGTGCTAGTAGAACACACTACATCTTTTTATTCTGTACCATGCTTTTGCCTTATTTCTTCTCTGGCTACAGAGGACCAATTCCTATTCCTCTTAATGGAAAATATGGCAGCCAGCAGCTTCTATGATTTCATGGTATTAGCCCAGACAATTAGAAATGGAGTCATATAGTACCAATTTCTTCCCTGTTTGACAAATTATATTGTATTACCAGATCTTGGTGTACTTACTGTGCCCCTGTGATAATTGATATATATCCTTGGTCATTCCCCAA